CAAAAAGTGTATCTGCAGAGCTCCGCTTAAGTTTCTGACAGTTCTCTGACATTCATTCACATTTACAGCGGTTGAAACATTGTACTATTTGTTTCCATTTAAATGGAAACAAATAGATACAATGTTTCAACCGCTGTAATGCTTCTCTTCCTTCTCATCCTTCTCCTTCCCTCTCATTCTTCTCCGTCCTCTCATCCTTCCTCCTTCCTTCGCTTCCTTCTCCTTCCTCTCATCCTTCTACCTTTCCTCTCATCCTTCCTCCTTCCTCCTCATCCTTCTTCTTCCTCTCATCCCTTCTCCTTCCTCTCTTCCTTCTCCTTCTTCTCATTCTTCTCTACCATCTTCTCATCCTTCTCCTCCTCCTTTTAAATTAAAGGTACATTGTTCTGCACTAATATAAAGGCTCTCTGAAGCCTAGAAACCCTTTTTATAAGTTAAATTAGCAGCGAATAAATTTGCATCGAATCAAATTTCTTCCTCAAATTCGGCGAATCAGCCGAATCGAATTTTTGAATAATTCGCTCATCTCTAATTGTTATGCCTAAAAATCCAATCTCACTTAGTACCTTAGTCCTATGCAGACACCCCGATAATCTGTTGTCTGGGCCCAGAGAAGGAGAGAGAGAGCTGAGACAACTGTGTCCTGATTTTTATACTCTCATTCTGATGTCGGCCTTCCATCTCCCCATTCAGGTACAGACACACCCTTTAGAGTTTTCAGATATCTTAAGACCATACCATCATTAAGTGTTCTTGCATGGCAAGACTACTTACTGGTATCTCACATGTATATTCTTATTATTATAGCCAAATTTACCACCCTAACTCCTCCCACAGTTTTTACACTACATAGACAGTAATATACCGAAACGTGTGGATTGTTCCCGATTGGTGTGTTATTACTTTGTGGAACGTTTCGCCGAATGGTTCACAAAATATCTGCGTTTTTGTGGTGAAATTTGTCCCATAGGAATGAATGGTGGAATGTTCAAATTAGAGTGGGAGGTGACAAAAGCTAGACTGTGAGCTGAAAAATCAGGACATGATTTCTAAACTGCCATCACTCCCTTATTTTCAAGCCCACCTACAACAAATCTTATATCAAAATGTTCAGCTATCCCTGCTGCCACTAAAAATGTTCCACGGCTAAGCCATAGTCCTGATAGTTTTCACAATATGACTATTTGTTTGCAACTCACGCCGCCCATTGGCATTCATTGAAACTCCACTCTAGCCACCTCAAATTTGAAAGGTAATTTCTAAACTACGACTGTGCCTTCATTTTTAATATTTCAGAGACATACTATGCATCAAAATGTAGGTCTGGGTCTTGTGATTCTCTTCGGTGTAGGATTTATAATTTTTAAACTACAACCATTTGAAGATGGCAACCGCCAGTGAAGTGAGCAAGTTGGAGCAGTTTGTTCTTAACCGCTCTTCTCTGCCCTTGTTGTACAGTGAGTTGCTATAGCAACCCAGGTGTGTGAGCAGGCAGCAGAGTGACAAAAGCTAGAGTGTGAGTTGTAGACTACTGGGTGGAGGCAAGAACACTTCAGACAATTTCCCCAGAAATTGTAGCTTTTCTAGTTACTATTGTCATCCAAACAGATGGCACTACTAGACTACATTCAAATCTTAAGATACTGGTTATCTTTAGGTTACAAGTTTGGCATTTATGATAATCAGATCTAGCAGTATCCATATCCTTTCAAGTCAGTTCTCTCAAAGGAAGATCTATATACTCCCCCAGAGGTGCTTAACCACTAGCCTACAGGGCACTTATATCGCCTTCTTGCCCAGGCCAATTTTCAGCTTTCAGCGCTGTCGCACTTTGAATGACAATTGTGCGGTCATGCAACACTGTATCCATATCAAATTTTTATCATTTTTTTGAGACAGCTTTCTTTTGGTGGTATTTAATCACCTCTGGGTTTTTATTTTTTGCTAAACAAACCAAAAACAACTGAACATTTTGAAAACAAAAACTTTTTTTCTTAGTATTTGTTTTAACATTTTGTAAGTGATTTTTCTCTTTCACTGATGTGCGCTAATGAGGCTGCAGTGATGGGCACTGATGAGGAGGCACTGGTAGGTGGCACTAATGGGCTTTGACAGGCATAACTGATGGGCACTGAAAGGCAGCACTCATATATGGCACTAATAGGCGTCACTGACGGGCACTGATAGGCGTCACTGACGGGCACTGATAGGCGTCACTGACGGGCACTGATAGGCGTCACTGACGGGCACTGATAGGCGTCACTGACGGGCACTGATAGGCGTCACTGACGGGCACTGATAGGCTTCACTGACGGGCAGCACTGATGGGCAACACTGACGGGCAGCACTGATGGGCAACACTGACGGGCAGCACTGATGGGCAACACTGACGGGCAGCACTGACGGGCAACACTGACGGGCAGCACTGACGGGCAACACTGACGGGCAGCACTGACGGGCAACACTGACGGGCAGCACTGACGGGCAACACTGACGGGCAGCACTGATGGGCAACACTGACGGGCAGCACTGATGGGTAACACTGACGGGCATCACTGATGGGCAACACTGATGGGTAACACTGACGGGCAGCACTGATGGGTAAAACACTGACGGGCAGCACTGATGGGTAACACTGACGGGCAGCACTGATGGGTAACACTGACGGGCAGCACTGATGGGTAACACTGACGGGCAGCACTGATGGGTAACACTGACGGGCAGCACTGATGGGTAACACTGACGGGCAGCACTGATGGGTAACACTGACGGGCAGCACTGATGGGTAACACTGACGGGCAGCACTGATGGGTAACACTGACGGGCAGCACTGATGGGTAACACTGACGGGCAGCACTGATGGGTAACACTGACGGGCAGCACTGATGGGTAACACTGACGGGCAGCAGCACTGAGCAGATGGGGTAACACTGACGGGCAGCACTGATATGTGACACTGAAAGGCAGCTCAGATGGGCAATGATATGTGGCATTGATGTGCACTGGTAGACATTGATATCTGGTATTGGTGTGGCACTGATGGGCACTGGCAGGTGGCACTGATGAGCACTGACAGCTGGTATTGATGGACACTGACAGGTGGCACTGCTGCGGCTACACTAATCGTCAGGGCACACTGATCATCATTGCCTTGATGATCAGTGTAGATGTCCCCTCTGAGGAATGCTGATTACCGGCTCTCCTCGCCGCGCATGCGCGGTTAGAGTGGGAGGATGTCATATGACATCCTCCCAGAATGAGAGAACTGTCATTGCCTTATATGGTGGGCGGGAGGCAGTTAAAATGACAATGAGTCCAGAGATTACTTCTCTTCATCACCCTAGCAGCTTGATAATAAAACAAAAGCAAAATGGTAATTTCTATTGTATGACCTTCGTTATGGAAATTCCAGTTAAAATCCAAACTATCTTCTTTTATTAATACAAACAACTTTTATTGTCAAGATAGAGAAAATGGAACAGTACTTACAGAATCCACAATGACATTACTGCAGGAGGATTACACATAAATATAACAAAGTGGATACGCAGATCCTGTAATAAGCAGAATAACAGAAAATGGTAATGAAACAAAACAGAGACCACAAGGATCCAAAACTTTGACAATATCTTGCTTTGTCGTTTTTGCGTCTTATTCCTTCCCGACCAGATGTAAACAGAAATGGGGGAAAGGAACAAAGCCCAAAAACATGTCTTCAAACAATAAAAAAAAAACACATCTACAACAACCTCTGGTTCACCCGAGACGTCTCATCAAAAAGAATGGGAGATGCACACGAACTCCCTCAGGGGGAGGAGTGGAGCCACACACCTGATATAAAGTATCGCATCTGCAGAAGTCGGTCCACTATCAATTGAGGAGGGGCAAGCCCAGGTGCATCCAGCCAACCCTGCCATACCTGCTGGAACTTACGATAAGTATTGTGATGCTGGTACGTGAGTTTCTCCCATGGGAGTAAAGAATTAACATAATCTATTCATTGCTTATGAGTCAGAGGAGCTGGTGATAACCAGTACCTTGTTATCAACTTCCTAGCCAGATATAGAAGTCTAGATACCATAATATACCCTCCTGGTTGGAACAGTTCTTGGTCCAGTGCCCCCAACAGACAATGCAAGGGATCCTGGGGAACAGTATGTTGCGATACTGGAGAAATAACTTGGAGAACCTCACTCCAATATCTATGTAACCTGGGGAAACTCCAGAGCATATGAATGAAATCACCCTGTTGGATCCTACACCTCGGACAATCAGGTGAATCCTGCCTGCCCCACCGATACAGTTGCACAGGGGTCCTACACGCTCGATGGAGAATAAACAATTATTATTATACAGTATTTATAAAGTGCCAATAGTTCGCTGAGCGCTGTACATTACAAAGGGGGACAGAACATGTGACAGAACAACAATACAAATACAATAGCAAATACATGAGGGGATCGAGGGCCTGCTCTTTCGAGCTTACAATCTATAGGAGGGAGGCCCTGGATGGTGGCACAGGAGGAGATAGCTGTGGGGGATGGGAGAGGTGGTAGGAAGAGTGGAGGAAGGGAAGAGTGGAAGTTAGAAGGGGTGGGGTAGGCTTCCCTGAAAAGGTGGGTTTTCAGGGGTGCGCCTAAAAGGAGAGGAGAGTAGGTGGTACTGGAGGCGGGCTATGGGAGGAGGAGACCAGGGAATTAGAGAGGAAGGAGGTCTTGTGAGGAGCGGAGTGTGAGACAATTTATAAGAGGAGATAGAGAAATTCCGGACCAAATTCCAGGGCAGCATCCCAGACATCTCCATGCAAACTTTCAATATCTCGGGATCACTGCTTAGAGATGAGCAAATTATTCAAAAATTTGGTTCCGCGGCTGATTCGGCCGAATTCGCCGAATAAAATTCGCTTCGAGCCGATATAATTCGCTTGCGAATTTAACTTATAAAAATGGGTGATTCTCCAGGCTTCAGAGAGCTTTTATATTAGTGCAGAACACTGTTACCTTTAATTTAAATGCCTTGGAGTCTGCTGGGGAAGAGAAATAATACTGTCAGTCAGTATGACATGCAGATAGAGAGTGCCGTCGATCTTAGAATCACCGCAACCACTTCACTCAATTTGGGCAGTCACGGGGCCAAAACCAGAGTGTGGAGCCACAGTGTGAGCGGTGGATGGGCAGCAGCAATGGGAGGCCATACAGCACCCTATGACAAAATGGAACCACCAGCAGTGTGAGGAGACCTGAAAGTGGGCACATGGCAGAGGAGTGGGCGTTGGAGACAGCAGCAATGGGGAGGCCGTACAAGGGACCATGACAACACTCTGGACCTGGCAGCAGCATGAGGAGGCGGTATACAGGGGCCCATGACAGATTACGGCCTGGCAGCAGCAAGAGGAGTCGGTATGGGGCCCATGGCAGATTACGGGCCTGGCAGCAGCATGAGGAGGCGGTACAGGGGCCCATGGCAGAGTGGCGGAGCGTTAAGCAGCTAAAATTGAAGGCCATACAGTAGGCCTATGTTAAAAAAAAGTTTCCCCAGCAGAAGCGTGGGGAGACGACTAATCAAGAGTCCAATGCATGAGGTGGTGGAGCAGAACAGCTTCAATGTTGAATTGAAGGCCATAATACACAGGCCTAGGTTTAAAAGTCCCTCACAGTTAATTGTCCAATAACGAACTCTACTCCTCCGTGCAATCTACTTACGAGACCCTGGGCAGGTCCTGGGTCCAATTTGTTGTAGGAGACTGGTTTTGTTCAGCCATGCTTGAGCGAGTATATAACAGGGTCTGTGCTGCCTTGTGGTGTCCTGGCTTTAAGGCGCACAACACTGAACGTCCCAGCGTTTGTCAACGATTTGCCGTTAAGTGATGCCCAAACCCGCTGAACCCACGTTCATGAGGATCCGGTACAGGGGGGCCAGGAATCAGTATGGGACCTGGCAGCAGCGAGTGAGCAGATGACAGAGGCACATGGCGCAGGGTGGTGGTGTAGGGCAGCATTATTCTGAAGGCCATACACAGGCCTAGGTTAAAAAGCGGAAGCCGTCAGCAGCGTGAGCAGACGACAGAGACACATGGCGCAGGGTGGCGCGGTGGATGCCAGCAGTATTCGGAAGCCACAACACAGTCCTCGGTTAAAAAGCGGGAAGCGATGTCAGAGTCAGCAGCAGTGAGCAGACGACAGAGGCACATTGGCGCATGGTGGCGGTGGGGGGGCAGCAAGCAATGGAAGGCCATACAGCACCTATCACAAAATGGAACCCACCAACAGTGTAAGGAGACCTGAAAGTGGCACATGGCAGAGTCTGGCGATGAAGTCAGGCAGCAATGGGAGGCCGTACAGGGACCCATGGACACACTCTGGACCAAGGGGGGGGGGGGGGGTGGGGGGGGCAGCAGCAAGAGGAGGATGCGGTACAGGGGCCCATGGCAGAGTGGCGAAGCGGTAAGCAGCTTAAATTGAAGGCCATACAGAGGGCCTATGTTAAAAAGTGTCCCCCAGCAGCAGTGTGGGAGACGGACTATCAAGAGTCCAATGGCAGAGTGGCGGAGCAGAAGCAGCTTCAATTGAAGGCCATACACAGGCTAGGTTAAAAAGGTCCCACCAGCAGCAGTGTGGGGAGACGACTATCAAGTGTCCAATGGCTGAGTGGCGATCTCGGGAAGTCAGCGTTGTGATTGCAGATGCAATGCAGAGATTCTATGAGGTGATGCCGTGGGTGCGAAGAAGAGTCATATACCATCGTACTTCCATCCATTAAGACGAACAACCTGCGAACGGGAGCTTTAATTGCCCTGACCCGCTGAGCAGACTTCTGGGATACCCAAGAGGCCCATGGCAGAGTGGCGGAGCGTAAAGCGCAGCTTCAAATTTAAAGGCCTATACACAGAGGCCTATGTTAAAAGGTCCCCCAGCAGCAGCGTGGGGAGACGACTATCAAGAGTCCAATGGCAGAGTGCGGAGCGGAAGCAGCTTACAATTGAAGGCCATACACACATGGCTAGGTTAAAAAAGGTCCACCAGCAGCAGTGTGGGGACGACGACTATCAAGTAGTCCAATGGCTGAGTGGCGATCAGGGAAGTCAGCGTTGTGAATTGCAGATGCAATGCAGAGATTTCTATGAGGTGATGCCGTGGGTGCGAAGAAGATCATATACCATCGTACTTCCATCCATAAGACGGAACAACCTGCGAACCGGGAGCTTTATTTGCCCTGACCCCAGCTGAGCAGCTTCTGGATACCCAAGAGGGCCCATGGCCAGAGTGGCGGAGCGTTAAGCAGCTTCAATTAAAGGCCATACAGAGGCCTATGTTAAAAAGTCCCCCCAGCAGCAGCGTGGGGGAGACGACTATCAAGAGTCCAATGGCAGAGTGGCGGAGCGGAAAAGCAGCTTCAATTGAAGGCCATACACAGGCCTAGGTTAAAAAGTCCCACCAGCAGCAGTGTGGGGAGACGACCTATCAGCATGAGTCCAAATGGCTGATTGAGTGGCGATCCGGAAGTCAGCGTTGTGATTGCAGATGCAATGCAGAAATTTTATGAAATAATGCGTGGGTGGACGGAAGAAGATTCATATACCGTCGTACTTTCCATCCATAAGACGGAACAACCTGCGAACTGGGAGCTTTATTGCCCTGACCCGCCTGAGCAGCTTCTGGGGATAACCCAAGAGTTTTGGCTTCTCTGTGGGGAATATGGTTGAAAACTGAAAAATTAAAGGCATGTTGACGGAAGGGCTTCCCAGTGTCAGTGTGCTCGTGAGGGAATATAGCTTCAAAGCTGACACTTAAAGGTATATCGTACGGTCAGAGACCCACAGGAAGTGGAGCTTGCGTCTTAAATCGACTGTAAATCTGGCAGACGTGAAACGTCTACGGGCCGTTTTATGAAACGGGTTGTTCCTCTTTCTGGAATAAGTGTTGGAAATGGTCCACTCTTTTTGGTGTGGTGTTTTGTCTATTTATTTCCGATAACGGACTCTACTCCCTCCGTTGCAATCTAGTTACGAGACCCTGGGCAGGGTCTGGGTCCAATTTGTGGTAGAGACGTACTGAGGTTTTGTTCAGCCATGATTGAGCGAGTATTAAACAGGTCTGTGCTGCCCTTTGGTGTCTGGCTTAATGCGCACAACACTGAACGTCCCAGCAATTTGTCAACGATTTGCCGTTAAGTGATGCAAACCCGCTGAACCACGTTCATGAGGAGCCGGGTACAGGGGGCCATGAATCAGTATGGACTGGCATCAGTGTGAGGAGGAGACCCGAAAGTGGCAACATGGCGCAGGGTGGCGGTGATGCAGCAGCGAAGACATTCGGAAGGTGGTAGCCGAGCATACAGACGCACAGAGGGACTAGTTTCGGAAAAAAGGCCTAGGAAGCCGTCAGCCAGCTGTGGAGCAGACGACGACAGAGGCACATGGCGCAGGGTGGCGGGTGGAGGCAGCAGTATTCAGGGAGCCATACACAGAGGCCTAGGTTAAAAAGCGGACGCCGTCAGGAGCGGTGAGCAGACGGACAGAGGCACAGTGCGCTCAGGGTGGGCGGTGGGGTGGAGGCAGCCAGATATTCGGAATCCATACACAGGCCCTTAGGTTTAAAACTGGGAACCCAGCAGCGTGAGCAGACGACAAAGAGACCGCACATGGCAGAGGATGGATCTGTGGGCAGCAGTATGAGAAGGCGTACAGGGGCCCGTGGCACAGTGTGGTGACGGGGGCTAACAGCAACTGGAATGCCAGAGAAGTGGCCGATTAGGGCTATATACTGCATGGAATTCATAAAGATTGTAAAAGACAGCCGGCACTATAAGGCTTATACCACACTATAACAATTCATGACTTGAATTGACCCATTGGCCTAATAAGGCTATATACACAGCATGTGATATCATGACTTATTCTGAGAGTGGTTTTGGAAGGCTATATACACAAAGTAATTCATGAGCTGTACGGACAGCAGAGGATCAATAAGGTATATATACAAATCAATTCATCGGCTGTCCAGCATAGCGGCCTCAAGGCGACACATTATAGAAAGCAATTCATGAGCTGTTCAGACAGCCGCCTCTAAGGCGATAGCCAAGAAATAGGGGAGATATACAAAAGCAATTTCCCGAGGTTTGTTCAGGAGATCGGGCCTGAAACGGCTAGGTTATGTACTAAATATATTTTTGTGGCCAAACTTCGGACCTATAAATAGATTGTTATACACAGTGACAAAAAATTTGTGTCGCCAGACAGCGGCCACTAAGGCGACAGATATTCAATGCAAATCCCGAGCGTGTTCAGTGAGCGGCTTGAACGGCTAGGTTTATTTAACTAAATATATCTTTATTTTCTGGCCAAACATCGGCCTATAAATTGATCTACAACAGTGGACAAAAAAGTAGGTCGCCTGGTACAGCGGCGTTAATCCTACAAATTGAACATTAATAAGAAAATGGTTTTTTAGACCAAAAAAAAAAATAAAAAACTTTGATGCGATGCTATAACCTTAGTAGATTTGTGGAAAGTCGACAAGTTCAGCGTAAACTGTGTTACATTACAGGAAAATCTTCAAAACAAGGACAACCAAACATGTGGCCTAACCGTTGGGACCGACTACAACCAGTTAAACAATGTAAGATACAGGTGGGGGACCAAACCGTGGACCAATACAATAAACAGGTCCCACCTCATTTGATGAGATGGACATCACTGTCAAATAAATATTTAAAAAAATTGCTTATTCTCATCGGTCCTGGAAAGCTGGTTCGACCTATAAAATAATTAAAAAGTTTAAATTCATGTGACAGTCATCCCAGCACAGTATAAAAAATTAAAAAGACCAATTCATGAGGGGCCACGACCAGCAGCGTAATATGGTCATTAGCGTGGTGGTGGGGAGGTTCAATTCAGTTGTGTTCGGGTCTCGAACCAGTGCGATGTATATATATTGGTTTGTGTAAAATAACCCCAATTCATGAGGGGCCCCGACCTGCAGAGTATAAGTCATTCTAAAAAAATGTGCAAAAACATGAGTCGGGCCCGACCAGCAAGCCCTCCAATAAAATATATATACAAAATGTACGGATCAGGTGGAGGTCCTTCCATTTGTCCCTTAATATAACATGTCTGGGGCAATGATCAATGGCGGATTTAGTCAGTTGTGTCAGGGAAACTGGTGGTTTGGAAATCCAGACTAATCCACGGCCTGATTCATTTTCACAAACGTTGAGTCCTCTCCACACACATTTGGGTGGACCAGTCGAGTCCTCCGCGGAGTTTACAATACCTCCTGCAGCACTAAAACACGCGCTCATCACCCCGATGCCCAACGCTACTGGCCGGGCATGACAGCCTTTCTCAAGGGCAAATTCAGCTAGTTGGGCCAAAGGTCAAGTTTCGTTGCCCATAGTCAAGAGAGGATTGTCTACCTCGGTTGGCACGGTGCGGTCCAAGTAGGCCCATGCCTGTTGTTTGAGGTCCTGCTCCAGGTCCACCCTGATGCTGCTTGCTGCTCCCGCGGGCCTGGTTAGTAGTTTCCCCTCACTGCGCTGGTGAGAGAAAGCTACTCATCATCGGACTGCAGGACGTGAGGGCAGCCGCTGCTGGGTTGGAGCTGCCATCTAGCACCTACCACGCCCACCCGCTCCCCTGCTTGCCATGGCAGCGGAACGCGAGCGCACAGGGCCCCACAGTGTCTGAGGATGGACGTTGGCTCAGGAAATGCAGAGACCAACTGACTACATAGGTAGGGTTTCTTATAGTACGTTATTTTGGACTCCCTCTCAGCAAGGTGGTTGAAAATGGTCCACCCCATTTTTTGAACGGTAGCGAGGGTCCAACAAGGTGGACAGCCAAAAGTCATCCCTCTGTCTGATGGTTATTATTTCGGGGGCTGTCGCTACGCAAGCAACAAGCATGCTATGGGCCATTTGTAGCCCAAGGAATGCGAGGGACTCCCTGCCTCCATCTCCACGCATACTGCCACGGTGCTGTCTGGGTCCTCTGTCTCCTCCTCCTCCGTCTACCAGATGCTCATGCTCCTCCACTCCTGTCCGCTGAGTGGAACAAACCACGCCATTTCACTCAATAATTTCCTGGAGCACCAATGTCCTCCTCTTACCTTCCACCCTCTTCTTCCTGTTCCTGCCCCCACAGGGGTCATGTGGCGTTGAGAACTCTGTGCGCCACGTCTAAAACCGCACCCTGACCAGCACATTGTTAACAGCATTTGTTCCAGGGTCGTCGCAACCAGAGGAATGACGTCGTTCCATCCCCATAGTCCTGCCGACTCACGAATAGGCGTGGCATCCTCCAAAGGGCCGCTGAGCAACGCGCAGGTTGTCACGCATGAGCTGCCAATGGCT